TTTTTTACATGATAAAAAATTACACATTAAAAAATATTCATTAAAAATATAAATAAAATTAAATAATAACCTAACCTAAATTAAATTCAGGGAGTCATCATCAAAAAATAAATAAAATTAAATACTTTGAGGTTTAAAATATGGTTACAGGGTTTAAAATGAATATGAGCTGTGTCAAAGCTGAAATATAAAATAAAATAAAAAAGGATTAGATTAAAAAACAAAGAATAAGCAAAATATTTAAAATAGTTTTAGGGGTACAATATAGGTTTATAGGGTTAAAATTAATATCAATACATCAGAGCTTTGCCATAGTGAATTGTGTACATGCTCAGGAAAAAGGTAAAGTAAAATAACAAAGCAAATATAAAGTAAAATAAAAAACAAATGAAATTCAGAAAGTCATCTGCTGATTCAAAAACAAAGAATAAGCTAAATATTGTTTAAAATAGTTTTAAAAAGGTAGGATATAGCAGCTTTCCCTAAATAAATAAACATCAGATATCCACATTTTATTTTATCATCTTGCAGTACTAATCTTGCAGTTTCCTTTGTAATATTCTAAAGCATCCCTTAAAACATATGCAAATGTCTGTGTCCTTCTGGGCATAGCTACAAGTCAAAGAGCTGAAACAAAGGACAAGAAATTTCCAATAGGATTCTCTGTGCAGAGTACAATATTGCACAATATTGTGGTGAACCTCTTCATGGCAACGTAATTGTAAAAAAAATAAATAAAAAGTACCACGAACAAGCAATTTATTAATCATGCACTCTTTGACATAATACATATAACCGCACACTTACAAAGCAAATACTTTGGATTAATGAAGTGATAGTTTAATAAGCACTGAACATCCTTGCAGTGCCTCTAGGGTCATTTATAATGTTATTTACCTGCTCAAACCACCGCTGGATAATGAATCGGCAAAGACAGAGCTGTTGTGAAAACAAACACTTTTGATGCGGCTCACCCTGATCAATGCTCTGGCGGAGACCGCAGACTGATGATGCCCTGCAGATGGGCAAGTGTGATGTTTATATCTAGTAAATGCATAAAACTGTCAGCCGTTTATTGGGCTGTCTGAAAAATGTATTTGTCTGATTATTTATTCATTAAATTTTTTATTTTTTTTTCCCCCAGGTTGGTTCATCGCCCTCTAGTCAGATCGATAGAGTTTAGAAATGTTGTTCTGAACACGAGTGAGGCGAAAGTCCAAATGTCTGGCACATTTGTTTGGTGGTTTCACAAGGTATTGCGCACACACGTGTAATACCTGAAACACCAACACACACCATCCCCTCGGTGACGTAGTGAGAAGTTTGTGTGTTCAGTAAATAAGCTTTTATTGGTCTGTGGGCAAGACACCTTCAAAACCTTGACAATAAACAGAGACTGTACACGTCTATTGCTTGGTTGCACCTGCTGGTCAACTGTAACACACACAAGCTCTGTTCAAAATCCTAAAGAGCTACTTAGAAGACAGCAAAGGCAGGACATTAAAATAACTTAGCACTACACAGGCAGCATTTTGAAAATAGAACAACTGATTTCAACAGACAATGTTGCTAAACTAAGCTGACAACGTGATATTATTGATAATAATAAGCTTCTTGAGCAATCAAATCAGCATATTAGAATGACTTTTGCCATTTTAAGCTACCTTGTACCTCGTGGAAGAGCCACCACTTTGAGGGTGTGACTATGATGCCTTAAAATGCTGTTTGGAACAGCATGTGCAGTGCAGACTGTTGAGGACAACACAAAGTTAGCAAAAAAAAAAAAAA